AGGATCGAAAAACGTGCATCAGTATACCTGCTATATTAAAGCATGGGCAAAATATCGGCGTTCAACTTGATGATCGCGTGGTCCATTAACATGTGACTCACGCTATTAAATATAATAAGCTTTGGCGTAGTTTTGTGACAAGGATTGCTATTAAAACTGAAACGGTCAACTAGCGAAGCTTAATGGTGTCAAATAACATATTCAAGACTTGGGATCTTTCTTTACACCATCAGGGTAATCTGTCTAGCAAAATTTTATCCTGACAACAAACCCAGACGGAATGGTGAAAACGCTACATGTGTATGGTGCATGCTGAAACCTTTGCGTCAGGCAGCATTAACAATTAGAATAGAAAATAGTGGCTCAACCGAAAGGAGGCAAGATGAGACACTTAATAGTCGACGTTCAAAACGTTTTACTTAAGTGGCCTTGGGGTCATGATCAGTTGCACTTCTGGTTGCAAAACTACAAGTCAACGACAGTTAACGTACTGCTCAATTCTAAGGACCAATAGTGGGATTGTCCGTTCGTTTCAAGTCTTCTTGCAAACGGTGATATCCGTGATTTGCCTCCATTCGAATCCGATGATCAGCAGCAAAAGCGAGCGACGACACTGATCAATTTAATACCTGAACTGAGTAGAAGCGCCGATTATCGATTTGATCTTCGATAGTCATCCACTAAGGGCTCTACAGAAGACGCGCCAGATCTTAAAGAATGATTGAATGCCCATAGACCGACTGCTCGTTTGACAATAACCTGACTTGTTAAGTGTTTTAAGTGGCAGTAGCATGTCATCCTTTTTCTGATTTGTACTCGCAATGAGTGTGTAGCGAATGTGTCAACGCGCCTCTAACATTCTCTATTCGAAGTCGTGTGTAAGAGCTATGAGTCCAGACAGAGCGCATCATCTGAACGCAATGCTTTCCCTCAAAGTTTTCAATATACGTTGGAGCAAGGAAAGCGTATCAAACGTAATAACGGTTTGGTTTGCCAAGGAAAACGACGATCATTCTGAGTTATCCACAGCCGGATTTGCCGGATAAAAACGGCAAAAGTTCATAAATTAACGATTTTTGAGTGACAGCCGAAAAGATGTTCGATCACGACAGCCAGATATCTTCTTTCCGTTGTAAGCACTGACTTCACATTTTGAAAAGAATCCAATCGATAAATCTGTTCGAACGATTGCAGGAACTTTACTTCTTGAAGATCGAAAGCAGCAGCGAACCGCCTTTCGGTATTTTGGAGGAGATTATCTTTCCCTGCTCATCCATGTCTGTGATTGACTTAGATTGGGATGCCAGTTAGACCGTAATCTTTACTGAGAGATGGTAAAACATCGAGAAATTAAAAGAGCATAATATCATCCATGCCACTTAGAGAGTCAAGCATATGAACCTCCAGTGCAAAGCGTTGTTCGAATTTATGTGCTATGTTCTCGGCTCTCTGAACTGGGGAATATTTTTTAATGCCACTACGTTCCTTTATTTCCCTCAGCTTGTCAGGTTATGCTAATGTCTAACCTGACGACTTGATGAGACAAATTAGCGTCTTGCATGAAGTATAAGCGGAATCAGAGTCCTGATGATCGTATTTTCCTCCTCGTGCAAGGGCTATGACTCGCACCCTTCCTTTCACACAAATAACAAAAATGGAAGCATGAGAAGCTTACGAAAGACACTAATTGAACATTCAAGT